ATTCTCTACCTGAATGTGACCACCAGTGATTCCTGTTGATTCTGCCTTTCACATCCTTGCATTTCCCTCTATGTCCCATCCTCACACTGTTCTGAATTGAGTTCCTTCCTGCCACTGGCTTTGCACATGCTGGTCCCTCAGTCTAGGTCAGCTTCCCTCCTCCTGGACTCCCTACACCTGGTTCACACTACTTTAATCAATCCCAGGGAAGGCTTTCCTGACTAGATCAATACCTCCCATTAACTGCCCTTAAAGTACTTTCCCTTTCAATACTTGGAATTGGAATTTGAGGATTCTCAGGTCAATATCTGTCTACCTGATTAGACTGTTCCATGAGACGAGGACTATATACATGTATTTTCCCTATTTGAGAACCACCACTCAGAACATGGGTGGCAGTTAGTAAGTATTCCCTGAATGAATGCAGGATGAAGCAGGAGTATGCATTCAGACTTTAGTTGCAGGCCATTCTTTCTAACCCTAGTAGTCTCCCGAAAAAACACAGGTTCTGTGACAGAGTCACTCACCAAGTTCTTTTTGTTGGCGTGATCTGATCAAAAGGCTGTAGGTCATTTCCGAATGTTTTCTGAGAGGCACTTCTCCCCCTTCTCAACTTTGAAAAACACAGGCCTCCCCTGCTCTTTAGTTGAGAGAAAACTAGAGAACTCTAGGTTGGGGCTGAGGTCAAAGTTTGGAGAACAGGGACAAAATTTTCAGTCTAATAATTATATAATAACATGTAACTGTTTATAACATTGGAAAACAATCTTTGTGTTTCCATTTTGTCTTGATTTTTTTTTTTTTTTAGAACAAACAAATGCACACAAAGCATATATGGCCTTTTCTATTTTGGGCTTCTTATTTATTTCCCAAATGCTTTAATTACATTAATTTAGATTTAAAATATAAGCTGCTTTCCCCTACATCTCATTTGTTAAAAAGGATTCTTACAATTCTGTACTTTTTTCAGAATCTGTACACTTGGATATGTGTGTACTATTACAAATTAACAGAATACACCATACGCATAGGCAATAAAAGAAAACAAAGATAAATTGCACTTCATTAATATTAAAAACTCTAATTTTAAAGGGGTACTATGAAGAGTGAAAAGACAACCCACAGAATGGGAAAAATATACAAATTGTATCTCTGAGAAGAGTTTAATATCCAGAAAACATAAAGGCTTCTACAACTCAAGAACACAAAGACAAACAACCCAATTAAAAATGACTAAGAGGACTTGAATAGACATTTCTCCAAAGAAGATCTACAAATGGCCAATAAGCTTATGAACCGAGGCCCAACATCATTAGTCATTAGGGAAATGCAAAGCAAAACCACAATGAGATACAACTTCACAACTACTAAGAAATAAGTCAGACAGAGAAAGACAAATGCCGTATGATATCACTTCTATGTATAATCTAAAAAAGGCTCACTTGTAAAAACAGAGAGTACAATAGTGGTTACGGGGGCAGTGAGGGGGAGGGAATAGGAGAGATGCCGTTTTAAGGGTATAAACCCGCAACTAGTAGATAACTAAGTTCTGCAGGTTTAGTGTACAGTATAGTGAATGTATAAAATATTATATTATAATCCTCAACGTTGCAAATGGACTAGATCTTAATTACCCCTACCAAAAGAAAGAAAAGAATTATGTGCCTTGATAGAGGTACTAAGATGGCTACAAGGGCAATCATATTACAATATATAAATGTATCAAATCAACAGGTACACCTTACCTTTACTCAATGTTATATGTCAATATATTTCAAAAAAAAAATCCCACCCCAAAACATTTTATACCTAATAGTATGGCTATTAAAAAAAAATAATAACCCAAAAACAGAAAATAAGTGTTAGCAAGGATGTGGTGAAATTGGAACTCTTGTTACATTGCTGGTGGGAATATAAACACTACAACCGCTGTGGAAAACAGTATGGTGTTTCCTCAAAAGGTTTTTTTTTTTTTTTTTACTTTTTAATGTTTATTTATTTATTTAGTGACAGAGAGAGAGCTGGTGGGGGAGGGGCAGAGAAAGAGGAGAGAGATAATCCCAAGCAGGCTCCCCACCATCAGCGCAGAACCCAGTGAGGGATTCTGTCTCACAAACCATGAGATCATGACCTAAGGTGAGATCAAGAGTCGGCCGCCCAACTGATGGAGCCACCTGGGTGCACCTCCTCAAAAGTTTAACACAGAATTACAATATGCTCCAGAGATTCCACTCCTAGGTATATACCCAAAAGAAATGAAAGCAGGGACTCAAATAGATACTTATATACAAATGTTTATAGTAGCAACATTCACAATAGCCAAAGGTATAAACAACCCACGTGTCCATCAACAGATGAATGGATAAATAAAATGTGGTCAATGTTCTCTATTTGGTAAAAATAAATAAGGTAGTTATATTCTATAAAGTTGCAGCAAATACTGAATGAGTGACTACTGAACTGCTCCTCCTAAGGGTAATAGGTTCTCGAGAGCCACTGGTCACCTTTATCAACCAATTTATATATAATCCTGTTTTATGTGCATTTCTGTTTAAGCACACCTTATTAATATATATATATATTATTATATATATATGCACACATATATACACACATATATACACATATATATACACACACATATATATACATATGATTCATAACACTGAACTTACAGCCAACAGCACTATAACTCATGCCTGAAAGAAGCTTATCTAAGACCTATATTTTTTTTCCCTAAGGCACATCATAGCCATCTTGCTTTAGGAACACTAGATAGCACTTTAGCACTATGCTTAGACATCATTTTAAACAATGAAATCACCAAAAAACAGCACAAAAATGCAAAAAAACCCCACATGGTACTAAGTAGACCATGAAAAGGCCACTTGTTCACAGCAAGAGGGCTGAAACAAAAAGGCAGAGAGTCTCAGCTGAAATGTACACACTGGGCAACTCTAATTTATTGCTGCTCTGGGCACATCTACGAAGGACTATGGGAGTGCTCTGAGTATGGACTTTGGGGTTACAAAGAAATGTAGTCAGAAGGTCAGTTCACAAATACAGAATCTACAAATAAGGACTGATTCTATATATAATGGAATAATAGTCAGCCATAAAATGAAATTCTGGTACATGCTACAATAAGAGTGACCCCTGATAACATGAGTCTTAAGGGAAATAAGCTGGACACAAAAGGATACATACTGTATGACCCTACTTATAGGGAACACCTAGAAAAGGCAAATTCATAGGCTAGAGGTTATGAGGTGTTTGGGGGAGGGAAGACTGTGGAGTTACTGTTTAATGGGTTGAAAGTTTCTGTCTGGGATGATGAAAATCCTGGAGACGGACAGTGGCGATGGTCGCACAACCCTGTGAATGTAATTAACGCCACTGAACTGTATACTTAAAAATGATTAAAATGGAAAAATTTTAAGTTATATGTATTTTATGAGAAAAACTTCTAATATATGTGCTAAATAGGACTGAACGGATCATTTAAAACTCCTGTTAAAGTCAAATGGAGACATGCTGGATGGCCCGAGTAGCAATTCTTGTTTACCCACACTTCCATTTAAAGCAAGGACCTTCTGGGATGCCTGGGTGGCTCAGTTGGTTAAGCCCCTGACTTCGGCTCAGGTCATGATCTCACGGTTTATGAGTTCAAGTCCCATGTCAAGCTCTGTGATGACAGCTGAGAGCCTGAAGCCTGCTTTGGATTCTGTGTCTCCCCCTCTCTCCGCCCCTCCCCACTCACACTCTGTCTCTCTTTCTCAAAAATAAATAGACAGTAAAACAAATTTAAAACAATGACCTCCCTTAATGTGTTTTTCTTTTGGTTTATAGACCATATTAAAAAAAAAAAAAAAGCCTTGCTATATAATATCAACTGATTAATGAGGAACACAAGTAAATGAAAATGTGCATGTTGGTTGTTTAGCCTTGCTTCACTCTTTTGGTGAAAAATTATGTTCAGTAGAAGTATTCTTTCTGACTAATCACCAAAAGGAGGGTCACCTTGGGAACCAACAGTGGATGTTCCCAATTTATACTGGGATGAAATGGTCTTGGTGACATGCCATACTTGAGTGAACTGGCCTTCCTAGGTAAACTGCTCTGGTACCATTTAGGTGTCTCGGCACTATGTGTCCACTATCAATCTTTTGCATTGCTCTTATCACCAATCTATTTCTTATGCGCTTCCTTCCTTACCAGAACCCCCTATTTTCCTATCTCTAGACAGAGCCATCTGTTAGAATAGTGATGTGGTTACTATCATAATTCAAATGTTCCTTTTTATTTTAGGTATTTCTTGACCCAACAATTACAAAGAAGCACTGCTGGAAACAAACATATGCGAAATGTGCTAACGTGGAATAAGAACGGCGTTGAAATGTAAACGTAACATAGGAAGGAATTCATGGCCAAAGAAATATCTCTTACAGTTCTTTTGATCTTTTAAAATGCGTCATAAAACTAAAAACGTTTCACTACAGAACAACATTTCGGCTTCTTTTATGATTGCAAAGAAGGATAATTATGATTGTCATGAAAACACATTGAGCAGCTGTATACTGTTAACAAAAGAACCACTGTATGAATGCATGTAAAAATTGACACTTCATACATTCACATTTCCTAGAAATTAGATAGTCTTCTCAACTGGAGTAGATACCAAAAGAGACTGTTTTCTATTAATCGTGGCTTTGTACCAGTCAAGTTTTTAGAGCCAACTGGATCATCTTTCTTTTGGGACAATTCCCACATAATATATGAGATCTATATAAACTGATTTATATATACGCAGACATGTGCATTATAATTTTGCAAAAAGTAATTTTTAAATTCTTAAATGATAGATTTTCTACTCTTAAAAATGCTAGTGTCAGTGGATTCTTTCACAAATATACATATGATTTATGTTTAGAAATCATAAAAAAAAGCATAACAAATAACTCTGCAGGTTATTTTATGAAGGCTAATTAATAGGTACTTACTCATTAAAGACTAGGTCTGGTGCAAAATAGAGAAATTGGCTGTTTGTATGTTTGTACGATCTCCAGCTCAAGGCAAATGATGATAGACACATCCAAGAATACTGGATTAGGGTAATTTGGTCCTCAAGAGGCAAGTTTTTGAATCCTGAAGAACAGAACAATTAATCACAGAAATACACTTAGCATTTAAGTACATTCCAGGAAGACGCTTCTTAAGGCAACCCCAAATAGTCACCTTTCTCTAACAGACTCAGATCAATTCAATAGCCATTTAAGGAGCACCCACCATGGGCATGGCCCTGTTTAACGTCTTATTTTAAGTTTATTTATTGAGAGAGAGAGAGAGAGAGAGAGAGAGAGCGCGCGCATGCATGCATGTGTGTGCGAGCAGGGGAGGGGCAGAGAGAGACAGAATCACAAGTAGGTTCCTCCCTGTCAGTGCAGAGCCCCACTTGGGCTCAATCTCATGAACCGTGAGATCATGACCTGAGCCAAAATCAAGAGTTGGACGCTTAACCTACTGAGCCACCCAGACTCTCCAACGTTTCATTTTAAATTCACCCTAAACTTTCAATGAGGGTGAACTGCCAGAACAAACAAAACCAGGGAGTTCAGACAGCTTCACTGTGGGTAATGGTCTAAAACCTTTGGTTAGACTGAAAGAATTTGTGTTAACTTGTAAAACTTGCTTCATCCTATTCACATTAACATTCAAATAAAGACTTTTAATAACTGTCAACTCCTACATATCTATAGTTAACTTTTGTGAATTTGCAGTGGTTGAAAAAGTACTATTCCTTGTTTCCCCTCGTCTGGGAGAATACTGGACTTCAACAAAGATATAAAGTAGAGTAAGTGTCTTTGGCATCTGTCCTCCTCTCTCTTACAGTCTTCATTTCTGGGCTTACATCAGCCCATCTTTTGTTCCTTTTCTCACCCCCTGTATTTCCAGGGACATCATGGTATTCTTCTGTTTGCAGAGTTTCACCAGGACATGTTCCTCTTCACAGACCCAATCATCAGAGCTTTCCCCAATCTTTTTTCTTATGCCTCTTGGCTGACCATAGGTAATCCAAGAAATTGCTTATAAATTACATTATTATTATTATTATTATTATTACTGAGACAGAGAGAGTGCGAGTGGAAAAGAGGGGCAGAGAGAGAGGGAGAGAGAGAATCTTAACCAGGATCCATGCCCAGTGCAGAGTCTGACACAGGGTTTAATGTCATGACCGTGAGATCATGACCTGAGCCAAAATCCAGTCAAATGCTCAACAGAAAGAGCCCCCCAGGCGCCCCAAGAAACTGCTTTGATTAACGAACTGGGGCAATGTGATAACAATTCTAAGTGATGTTTCTGTAGATTAAGAAGGACTTTATTAATAAAATTCTATAGCATAAAAAGTGACTACAGTAGGAATTTCAAGGACAATTTAAAGGGTGCCGGAGGCAAGATGATATTTTCAGAAAGAACAGTCTTTCAGGATCTCCTACTACTTACTTGATAGGTCATGGTTTACTGGTCTATGCTAAGATTAGCCCTGGTTATGAGCTGCTAATAATGGGCTCAACTTGCATTTTCACAAACAGATTGTATTTCACCTTATCGATAATTCGAGGTGGAAATGTCCTATTTCAATCACCAGCACAAGAAACGTAGATTAACAACAGAACCCTTAGCCCTAACAGCTCAGGAGAAATGAGCACATTGACAGATTTTCCCTACACACTTGATTAGTTTGGTAGCGATTACAAAATTTGGTTATGAGGACCTGACAGAAAGCTAACTCCAACTGCACTCCTGGGGAAATGGTGAAATGTGTTGCCCTGACTTCTCTTCTTCAGGATGCAGACCTTGAAAGGAGAGGCATGCCTACCTGGAAGTACCTTTGCCCACTTCACGACTTGGATCATCTGTTTGCCTGCTAAGCGGTTTAGAGTGGAGAGTAGGTTTTCGGCTGTGTCTGGTTTTGAGTTGTCGTAGCCTGCATACACGATCTCAGGCTCGATGTTTTCAAGGATCGCAACAGGGGTAGGCGTGAGCGCTCGTGAGATTGTGGACAGCTGAGGAACCAGCGCTGAGTTGACCGAGGGCTCTTTTGCAGGAGCTATGTACGTTGTCCCCTCCTCGGGGCTCTGGGGGGGTGGGGGAGGGGGCGGGGGCTGCTGCTGTGACTGCTCCTCGTGAATACCTTTTAACTTGCCCAACTTCTTTGACTTTCGAGCTGTAAAAGAAATTGTAAATAATAAGGGCAAATTTAAATTAGGATTGGGATACCTTACATGAGGTAAGTTACAATTAAACATTGACTTAGTTGACTACTTTTCTTTTAAAGATGTCTTGTCACAGTAACAGAAATAGAGCCTTCTCAGTGATTTTCTAATATCGGGCACAGTCCTAAATGTTTTATATTAATTAACCAATTTAACAATTTTATGAGTAGGCACCATTAAGTTTCTTATTTTATAATTAGGAAACAGGCCAGAAGGGTTAAGAAATAAAATAGGTAGGTCAAAGATCACACAGTGAACACATGATAGAGATGAGCGTTCAGAGGAAGGTAAAATTACTTCATATGCTAATAAGTTACATATGTCTCCATTAAATCTTAGATAAACCAGTACCTCCCGCCTATTTTCCACCAGGTTGCCAACAAGTGCTAGAATGGGTCTTATTCTAATGCAGTCTCTGCTCCCTCTAATTAGCTTTGCTGGCCCCTTTCCTAGTTCCTGTACTTCTCTACCACTTACTCTTCCTGTTCTGGTCCATGTGTCATCTCTGGCTTATGCGGTTATTTGGCATAAATTCTGCTAGCCCTAATCCCCAGTTACACTGTGAACCACTGAAACACAAAGACTGGGTGTTCCTCCTCGTTTACAGCCCCCGTGGCACGCTGGTGAATGGTATACCTGGAGAAAGTGATTTATAGATTTCCACTGGATTAATGGGAGAGCAATCAACCCCAAAGCAAGGCAACAAGATGGAACAAATTAAATATCTAGGTGATTTCAAATTGGAGAGCTAACTACTAACCTAACTACATGTATAGGAATTAATGCTGAAAAAAACCATGTTTAAATTACACCAACGCACACATATACAATATTTAAAAATCTGACCCACTCTATATTTTGAATACAAATCAACAATTCACATATCATATAATCTAACTAAAAAATATCATACTACGATATTAGAATCTCACTTCAGATTTTTAGGAGAACTTATTATGTACGAGTGACATTATGTTCTGATTTACCCAGAACAGTCCTGGTTTATGCTGGTTTTCCCAGCATGATTACCAATAATGCCCTGTTTATTCTTACAAGTGACATATTTTGGACAATAAATATAATGTGGTCATTTTAATTAAAACCAAAGGATCAGAAAGTATTAATTTTAACAGAAATTGCTTTTCTTTCTCATTTTTCTCAAGGGCACTTAAAATAGACGAGAAATGAAAGAATGGGGAGATGTAAGGGAGACTGGAAGGTAGATGGGAGGTTGGGTTTTGGATGGCAGGTGTGTGGGGTCAATGGGTAGACAGATAACTGTTTGTTTGTTTGTTTGTTTTTCGAGACAAAGAGAGACAGGGGAGGGGCAGGGGAGCAGGGGAGGGGCAGAGAGAGAGGGAGACACAGAATCTGCAGCAGGCTCCAGGCTCTGAGCTGTCAGCACAGAGCCTGACGTGGGACTCGAACTCACAGACCGTGAGATCATGACCTGAGCCGAAGTCGGATGCTTAACCGACTGAGCTACCCAGGTGCCCCTTGATGTATGACTTAAAGGATAAAAAGAAAAGAAAGCTTAGAAATGCCAAATTGAGCTTAGAGCTACAGTAATAACTTATTTGCAATTATAAGGTTTTCTTTATTTTATTTTTATTATTTTTGAGAGAGAGACAGAGTGCGAGAGGGGCAGGGGCAGAGAGAGAGAGAGAGGGAGACACATAATCCAAAGCGGGCTCCAGGCTCCATGCTTTCAACACAGAGCCTGACGCAGGGCTCAAACCCACAAACTGTGAGATCATGACCTGAGCCAAAGTATGACGCTCAATTGACTGAGCCATCCTGTAAGGCCCGCCTGTAAGGTTTTCAATTTCACTGAAGAATTTCAAAACTCTACTTAGTTCAAACACGTGAGGGACTTCTAGCATACACGTTTAATGTAGAGTAGAAATATGCCACACTAATTAGCTTGATTTTAGAAATAACCATTCATGATTACAATCATGGCCATTAATCTTTACCACATTCATCACAGAAACACTTACCAATTTAGATGAACGACAAGCCACTGGCCAACAATAGATCTACCTGCCACACATCTATTAAATACTGGAACTGGGCTTAAAAGATAGAATTCCTATATTTTAAGGAGTTTTAAAATTAGCAAAACAATTTTAAAGCAGTCATTTCAAATCGTTTCTTTTCTTTACAGACTACCTCCATCAATAAAAGATTTCTGGCAGAAAAAATCTGATGTTTGGAATTGTTTTAATGAAAAGCAAATGTATCATATTCACATGTGCTAATGGGAAGCTGTCGACAAAGTACTGCACAGTAGTGCTAAACTTATGGTATGTAACTAAGATGCTTCTGACAAACAAATGAGTGAGCTACCAACCAAGAAAAAAAATCAGCAAAGTGCCTCATCGATAGCATACTGATTATTTGGGGAATTAGATACTTGGGAACTGCCTGGGTCACATAAACTTTTCTCTAAGCCTCAAGGAGAAATGGAGACGATAAGGCTCCCCTCTCCTATGTCACAGAGGGCTAAATGGATAAGAAAAATAAAAACATGTTGAAAGTTACTGCTGACACCTGAAGTAATATTTCAGTGTTACTCCCATTCTTTCCATAATTCTTCAAATAGTAAAAATATTCCAGTTCATTAAAATGTCCTCCTTCTTTATAAGACTACATCTGATGATAACTGTAATTTGATTGAGTAGCAACAGCCAAGGGTTATAGTTTCAAATTTTATTAAAAGTGATATTTGCTTGCAAATTAATTGTAAAAATCATATTTCTTTTTGGCCTTAGGTCTATACTGCTGTGTTTATTCTCATGGCTGACTTAAGGTCAATGCTACAAAATATCATGAACATTTTCTCTAGCACTTATCCACAAGGCTATGGCTTGTAGCATAACCTATTGAAGAGATTATCAACATTATGTTTGGTATTTCAGTTACACTTAACTTTAGCCTATGATTTTGGGAATATATGTGGGACACGCTTGGAACTGAGTAATAATCTATATTTATTTAAACAGCTCAAGGTAATAAATATCTTCAGTGTGTAGATTTTGCAGCCATGTGTATCCATCCAATATCTTTTCTAAAAGCACGGGGAGATACATAATTAGTTATACTTATATTACTCGAAGTAGCCTTTCTAAAGTGTTTGGAAAGTTTATGCTGCTCTTCTAATACGTGTTATATTCTAAAATGAAAGTTCCTAAAAGTTGGTAATAGTGTCTTACACATTCCTAAAACATCCTTTCCATTATGCTTATGGGTACTTAATAAATGCTGAATTTATTTCAAATTCACATTTTGAGAAACTTTAATAAATTATTATACTCTATTAATGGAGTTATGCTATATGGTTTCCCTTCTAATCCTTCTTTCTTTATCTAATTTGCATTATTTTTATACTTTAAGATTAGCCACAGCTTCAAATCCAAGTGTATAATTAAGATGTTTGCTAATTACACAGGAAAATCTTTTGCCAAAGATCCTTAATAAGCATGTTTCCATTATCCAAAGCATCAGTGAACATAAATTGGGGGTCTTAGCACTGCCTACAAACCACCTTACTAAATTAACATGGAGTTAATGGGCATTGGGCTTGGGGACCCATGCTCCCAGGTGGCCACAGCCACACTTCATTTCTTAAGTGCCAGCAACAGCTGTGTGTGTGTGTGTGGGGGGGGGGAGGTTGCATGGAGGGGTACATTAATGTGAATTTAAACATGTCCCAGTCCCACTTGGACCTAAAGGAGTTTCACTCATTCTATGTGGATGTTACAGTAACTAGTTTGTGCTTCCTGGCTGCCCTCAGCTGCCAAGTCCTTAATTACCAGCAACATCTGGGCAGCTACTTTTCCCCGGCACTGCTGGAGGCCAGAACTCTACAGGCTCTCCACGATTGTTTCCCCCCACCCCCCACCACCCCATGAGCTGTGCAGTGGGGAGGCCCTCTTCCTATCTTGACCAATATGCAGAACAGCAAGCAGGGCGCATCTGGTGGAACCTTATAAAAAGTGTGAAGAATTCCCATTGAGATCTCACGATTCACAAAGGCCTTGAGACATGGCATGGCAGGTCTTCCTTTGTGGTTTACTCTATGTCCCAAGGTGGACAGGACCTGTAACATAGTTTTTGACAAACTACTGGTGTGGAAGAATGATGGCTGGATAGGAATGATTTCATTTTTTCATCTCACAGTAAGATGGTGGGATGGGACTCTCCCATGGTTCATGTTACTTTCATCGTGATCTTTCTCAAGTATGTTCAATTAGAGATATTTTAGTTCAAGAAATGGGTAATTAAGACAGCCTTCCCCCTGCCCCTTCTGGGGTAGAATAAAAGACTAGTATGAGATTTTTTCAATCATGACATTTCACTGGAGAAATTTAAAGTGAGAATTCTGTCATCTTAGAAATGTCTTGAAGTTTTAGGTCTTGGCAGTAAACATTAGAGAGAATAGACTGAGGTTATACAAAAACATGGATTTTCTGTTCACGGGCCAAATATAATTTCTGGTTTGAAGCCACAGGACAGTAACAGTACCCACCCATTCCTCTCTCTTCTCTCTTGCCACCCTCGCCTTGCTCCCGTTTGCCCTATCCTCCTCATCCTCTTTGTTTGCGTGGCTTCTCTTTGCTTTCCTACTGCCAGAGAAGACATGCTCAGAGAGTTAGGGGGACAACCGAGTATTTCTGTGTCATAGAACCAAAGGAAGGAATGTCACCATTCTATAGGTTTAATAGTTTTGCAGCAAAACCTCTCTAACTGGTACTAACAGGAAAAAGAGCACATATTGTTCCCAAGGCAGTACATACTAATGGGAGTGGGGCGACCATCCAGGGGCAATGTGCCTACACTGCTTTAGGAATAAATGATTAGCTTCTCAATGGATAATAAAAAAGTGCATTTCAACTGTTTATAAATACTCCTTGAGTGGTTAAAGAACTTGAAGACAGTGTTTTAAAAA